TCATGTAATTGGGAGTTACAACCTTTCAAATGCCTTTAGGTTACTTTTAGGGTTGTTTTAGAGGCTATAAATAGCCTAGCTTGTTTCCTTTGAAAGACAGATTTTGATGATTGAATGAAGTTGCTATTTTGCTTCAAAAAGCCTAGAGCTTGTTTTTCTTTGCAATTCTTGAGTGTTAGATTTGCATGCTAGAATCATTCAAGTAGTCTTGATCAAGCTATTTGTGGAGTGGTTCGAATCTTGAGTTTAGAAACAAGTTTTCTCTACTCTTGATATTGATCRTCAAGGTAAATCCGTTCTAACTTCTTCCTTGGGTTGACATCATCTCGATTTGAGGGTTTTAGCATTTGTGATCTAGGGGTTTGCATAACCATAAGGGTTACTAGATCCAATTGGCTATTGTTTTCTTATCATACAAAATTGAAAGTTTAAGTATTTATTATAAAGTTTTAATGAACAATATCTAAATAAGTAAATAGATACAATCTTAAAAGTTTAGAGATCATACTTATGATTTAACCAAGATTCTCTAACTATCAAATTGAACACGGTGAAATTCATTTAAAATATTTTTAATTATCCAAAAGAAAACTTTACTCATCATCCTAAACGTGATGCTAAATCCATCTAAGGAGAGACGATGGAGAAGAAGATTAATACGGATTAAGATAGAATTCCTCCCAAATGTCTCCTTCAAATAAAATTAGGGAGGTTGGAAAATGAATGTAAGATAAATCGAATAACAATATAATAATTAGTAGGTAACTTGTCCCATTATTATGTTTCATCATCTTTCATATGATAGAAGCAAACTTAATCATCTTTCATATGATATAAGCAACTTTTTGTAACGTGAGCCATATGGAAGAAATTATTAAACAAAGTTAATATTAGAATACCAAACTAGTATTCTAATACTAATTTAGCCACATGGAATAAATTATTAAATAAAGTTATTGTTAGAATAATTTGGAATAAATTATTAAATAAAGTTATTGTTAGAATAACAAATTAGTATTCTAATCCTAATTTTATTTTATGTTAGAGACAGGTACTCAAATTTCTTAGAAAATTGTTACATCTCTTCGAGCATAATACAAATTTACAAATTTATTTTATGTTGACTTTATGTCTAACAGATCCTCTATTTTTTATGTTGACTTTATGTCTAATAGATCCTCAAATTTATTAGAAAATTGTTAGATCTCTTCAAGCTAAACATTTTTAAAGTTCGGGAATCTAACTCTCAAAATCAGGTCCTCAAATTTATTAGAAAATTATAAATTTGTTAGATCTCTATATTCAAACTGAACATTTTTAAAGTTAAGGGATCTAACTCTAAAACCGATTGAGCTAAAGTTATACTTAATCTTTTGTCTTTTGTCTTTTATTTCCTACTTTAGAAATTAAACTTGTGTCAATCAGAACATAGAGCTCAAAACATCTATTATCATTATTTTTAAAGTGTCATGGTTTGAACCTCACCCATTGAAGAAAAAAAAGAAAAAAAAATGAAGGGAGTGATCAATAGTAAAACATAGCATTCTTAGAATCCTCAATCCACTGTGAGACGGATGCAATATGAAGCAGTTATTGAAGAAAAGGTGAAACAGTGTTTCCATGGAAAATAGAGGATTTTATGTAATAAAACACATGGACATAATTCAAGAATTAAACCATTTCAAGACAATGAAAATGGATTAATTGAAAGTTAAGCTACAGCTGCATGATTGCTTCATGAATTAAACATCATATATGAACAGTTTGATATTTATTTATTTTTAACAGAAAAAAAAAAGAAAGGATAAATTCAATATAACTGAAACTTTTCCTTTGTTTTCTCAAACACTTGCTCAGCAATAACAGCACCATTCCCATCTGCTTTCTTGATTTCCAAATGAGCCTTCTGATAAAACCCAGTGCCCCTTATGGCATCAGCAATGAAATCATCAAAACCTATTGCAATTGCTGCCTCTGCTTTGGCTCCATAAACCAATCTCTGTTTTTCAACAACAGCAAAAAAGATGAACTGAGACAAAAGCCGGAGAGCGGATTCTTACTACGGTTAAGAGTTCAACAGAAACAGTTCTGGAAACAAACCTTAATTCTTGAAAGATGGATGGCGCCGAAGCACATCGGACAGGGCTCACACGATGCATATATTTCACAGTCTGAGAGTTCGATTTGACCGAGCTTTTTGCAGGCCTACAGTAGAGCAGTGTGTTAAAAATCTGAATATGTGAACCGAAATGGTCTTGGTAATCATCATAAAGTGAATATAGTTAAATGAAAAGTAAAAAGTCTTCAAGTCAAAAAGGTTTTCTAGAGCACAATTTGAAAGGTTTAAAATACTTGGATTATCCATATAAGACACAACTTCAAACTACGCAATATTTTCAGGAAGCAGGCCAAGTAAATATCGAAGAAACAGTTGAGCTCATCACGATAAAGCAAATTCAGGTCCATGTATGATAACAGTGAACAATTAGTACAGTATATAATATAAGTTAAAAAAACAAAACATTCCAAGAGTTCAAAAAGATAAAAATTCAGCTTGACTGAAATGATTTTCTGAACCATGACTTATAAAACTTCAAAATTATAGACATCGAGGCGTAAAAAGGGATTTTGTGTGCTCAGTTAGGCAAATCAATCTAGAGATACACAATATTCTTCAAAACTCATAGTCGTGCATGCGAGAGAGAGCAAAATTTCATGATCAAATAACTTTATTCACTTTCAGTGTCAAGGAGATCTAATTTCTTCTGCAAAGTACTTCGAGAAACTTAGAATAAGTAGAACAACTGGCAATGGGCTAAAATATTGTACCAACCTCCCTCACTGCAGTGACTTCAGCATGTGCTGTAGGATCAGTGTTCCTCAAGACCATGTTGTGGCAGCTCACAACTACTTCGTCATTACGAACAACAACCGCCCCAAAAGGACCTCCATCTCCACACTCAACACCTTTGTAGGCCTCTTCAACTGCTTTTGTCAAGAACTTGTGGTCTCTATTCTGTACGGCTGGTATTAAGCATAGACAATAATGGAATATTAACACTTTCATCATCAAACTTTTAGGCAAAGTGTTCGTCCAGACTCCTAACAAAATGATATATAAAACAATTGCTCGTAGAAAGGCAAATACCAGGAATTAAAAGAATACACCCTTTTGAGATAAGGGGCTTATTGTGTGGCATGTGTTTTTTTGCCATTTAATAGGGTATATGGCTTGAGAGGATTGGGATGCGGTTAGGTTCAAATCTTCCCTTTGGGAATCCATCTCTAAGCCCATTCATAATTATCAGTTACGCCTTATTCTTTCTTTTGGATTTCAGGGGGCTCCTTTTGTGGGGCTATTTTTTTTTATGCCCTTGTTTCTCTTTCATGTTTCTTAATGAAAGTTTGATTTTTCATCTGAAAAAAATTGTACCTAGATTGTACTGTAGGAGAATTCAATAACCATCTCAGATAAAAAAAGGTAAATACAGAAAAATCTTGACTGATAAAATAGTAGGAAACAACAAAATAAACTTAAACCTAGGAATATTTTCTCCTAAACAAAATCTTACTTCCAGGCATAGATTTTGAACTAAAGATCTCAAGTGAAAAATATTACAGTTGTAAAATATAATGCATGAAGGAAAGGAATGACAATTCTAGAAGTTTACTGATCTACAATAGAAAATTTAGACTAATCCAAGACATGCATAAGCAAGGACAAGAATATTCCTGATAAATATAAAGTAATGACCACTAAAGTAAAAGAAAATTTTAATATGAAATGAGGTATATTCTCCCTTGACTTTTAATGGGAGGAAAGCAAAAGTCAATATTAAAATTAAAAATTAAAAATATGTATAAAAAAAAAAAACAAAAGTGAAAAGTGGGTTGTTAGTACCTTCTTGATGACAAGAGAATGCAGATGCAACAGAGAGAGTCCCATCTATAGCTTCCACCACTTAACACAAGAAAGATAATATTACAAACCACTCAGATATTTCAATAAATAAAAGAAAAACAGAATTATATGAATCTTTTTCCATTAATTTTCCAGGTTGAATCTGCAACTGCAAGTGCGTATAAACCCAAAAACAGTAGACACAAAGCACCCGAAAAGAGAGAAACAAAAACAAAAAGACGATATTATAATTTAGGATCAGATCCATTTACAAGCCCCAAAATTCACTTTTATCCTGTATTAGCATCAGCTACAAAAAGAAAAAGAGAGAGAGAGAGAGAAAGGGAAATATGTAAATTCAGGAAACAGTTCGTCATTGACCCGAGTCTGGAAATTCCAAAAGCAGAATAATGAAAAATTAGGAAGCATCCAAACATGTCTCCGTAAAAGAAAAACGAGCTTCAAACCACATATCAATTTCAACTACAGCCAAAATCCCCCCTAATTTCACAGATCAACCCCGAAAACGTACTTCCCCAGCGGAATCAGAGAAATCATTTATGCAGATTCAGAAACACCCGATGCGGAATCATAGAAATCATTCATGCAAACCCACAAACGCCAAGAAAGCGATCCAGAAAGATCGGAGAAGAGAACCCCAACATGCAATTGCAAAAAAAGAACAAATAGCTCATAAAAAAAATCCCCAAATCTCCGATTCCGATTCGATTCCAGAACCAATACACATTCGTGGAAAATAGAATGCAAGATCACACAGCAGTTACAGATCCTTGGAAGAAAAAGGAGAAAAACAGAAACAAAAGCAATGAAAAACGATGGAGATTGTGGTCATACCAGTAGCGTCCTCCATGGATGGAATGGAGAAAACACAGAGAGAGACAGAGTAAAGTGGCGAGAAAATGGGGATTGGGAGAAAGGGGAAGAAGGAATTGCGGGACTGGTCTGCGAAATCGGCTATATAAATAGGAGCGAAGGAAGAGCATCAGCTGGAAAAAGACTGAAGAGGAGAGAGAAAGAAGAGAGCGAAAAAGTATGTGAAAGTGAGGGATAAAAGTCATCCATCCACGACTCCGCTGTTTGTTTGGCCGTCTTCCATACCAATTCAAACTTGAGGCCTCATTTTTTTCCTCACCAAAATAAAAAGATAATTCCCCAAAATAATTCATTATTATTATTATTTTTTTTTGGAAAACATCAAAACTAAAATTAACAAATCAACAAAATACTCAAAATTAAGTGCTACTTGCGTACAGCCATATTATATCTGTCCACGTATCTCCATGTGTTCATGATGTCGACATCAGAGATAAATTGACATTTTCGTTCTATTAAAAAGATCAACAAAATATTATTAATAAATACCTAATATTAATATTAATTATTCTTAATTTATTTAGAAATAGAAAAATATTTATTTGTAAATTTAAGTAGTTTTTACGATTTTTTAATTTCTCTAATTTTTACCTAAATATCTATCGACACCGATATCCATATTTTCATGAAATTGAGATCACGACATTTCCATCGACACTGATGTTTAAAACTTTGGATATAACATAAGTTTTCTAATTTGTAAATATAACAAAATAACGAGGTGTTAAAAAAAAAAGGAAAAATCGGTTATACTTTTTCGTTGATATACATAATATCTAGTATATCATATCCAGTATATCAGTAATATGTTTATATTAGGTATATTAGTTATATCATTGATATAATTTATATTTTTTATATATATTATAATTGATATATTCAATATGAAATATATAAATAACGAGAGAAAAAATTAAAATAATAAAAAGACAAAAATATATGATTTTAAAAATTTTACTATATTTACAAAATAAAAGAAAAATTTGTTGTTATATTGGTAAATTATGGCAAACATTTTTGCTACAAACTAAAAATATCCAAAATTAAATTATAAAGGTCAGTTTTGATAATTATTTTATTTTTAATTTTTTTGTTTTTAAAAGTTATTTCTGCTTTGTCCCGTCAGCATAGTTGAGATTTTTTTCCAATCTTTTTTGACATATTTGTCTTTCATAAAATTTGAAAGTTCCAAATCTGCCCTGATGATAATAGTTTAAATTTATTTATTCTATTTACTCTAATTAAAATTTAAAAAAATATTAAGTTAAAAAAAAAAGTAAATCACGTCATATTAAAAATAAAAAAATTAATTCTGAAAATCTATATTCTTTATTAAATCACTTTATTAATTTTTAATTTGTAATTTTCAAATAGCACTCCTCACACTTGGCACACATGTACAATAAAATCATGTGTCATAATTCTTAAAAAAAAGAAAAAGGAATATTTCACGAAATATTATGATTCCTATATTCTGCACTCGTATAAAGTTATCCAAAATTATTTTTAAATATAAGAGTATGGTGATTCAACCAACCATAAAATTATCTAATACTTTATTTTTTAAAAATATAATCTAAAACTATTTTTAAATATAAGATTATATTTTATGAAATAATTATATTTAAAAACTCAAGATTAAACTGACCTTTATTATCGTTTTTTTCCTGCTAAGTTTTGTACTTATGTTAAATATATAAAATTAACATTAGTACGTTCAAGTATTGATTATTAATTTTAATGGGTCATAATAATAATAATAATAATGTTATTATATTAATTATTTATTTCTTTTGAAGGAAAACAAAACAATTATAGCCTATAGATGCTACTAATCAATAACATTGAAGGCAAAAAATCAACTTGAAGATAGTCATGCTCCTTATTTGTTATTTAATGCGTTTCAAGTGGCAGTCCTACAAGCATTCTAACTTTACAGATGGTCTATGATTCGTCGTAATAATCTTTATTGTAGGATAAAGTATAGTCTGCTACGTGGACGGTACCAGATCAGTCATATTCGACCTATTGGAACCGAGCTACGTGATCAACATTTGAACTCTCAGAATGCACAGCGATTGAATAGCTTGGCCTCATCTGAGATAGAGATCGAACTTATGGTGGAACCGTCTATAATTGCTTAATAAACTCAGTAACGAACTCTAACAATTGTAATAGAACAGTCTCTCCCCTCCCTGACTCCTATAAATACGCCATCATTCTTGCACACGAGAAGTGATTATGTCTAGAACCGACCTACTAGCTCCGATTTTAGACTAACTTGAGCGTTGGAGTGTTTATTCTTTGCGTGTAGGTCTCCTTACTTAGATCGCTTCGCACAACTCGACCGGTTGGCTCGTTGCAGATCTTGGACTTTTCAAAATTCACCATCAATATTTGACGTCATCTGTGGGAATCGTTTAAAGCAAGCCAACTACCTACCGAGTTATGGCTTATGGTTCTTAAAGATCTAGCAATAATCACGGAGACTCAACTTTGCCTCCCAATGGCAACGATCCCAATGATGCGCTGCCGACTACTCGCAAACCTTCGAAGGAAACGAAGCCCAAAAAACACAAGCGGACACATGTAAGACCCGGTTTGCGCCTGTGGACGAGCCTCCAGCAGTTGATCTAAAACCACAAGTCACCTTGATGCAATCTTGAATGGAGGCATGGTGCAGGTCTTACAGAATGATAGAGTGCCCCTTCACGAGGTACCACCTCTTGAGATCCTTCGTGATCCTAGGAAATGGAAGAGAAAAGTATATGAGTTTCCTGTCAACAAGACAACTCCCTCTATTAAGAAATTGGTAATTGGTGGGAATGACAAATAGCGACTTGATGGCGATTTACGAACTATCTTTCAGCTCATTCGTCGTAGATTGAAGGAGATCTTCGTGATACTCTTAATAAAAAATGAGTTATTGCTACCAAAAAGAAGGAAGTCTGACCTGCACAGTTTGAATCTATAGGCAATGTTAATATATAACTCTAATTCGAGCAGTTTAAAAGGGAGCTGAAGGGCGAGAGCAAGTCTGACATCAAGAAGACTCAAGGCAAACCTTCATCTAATGATGATGAACCCAAGGAATCGCCTTTTGTTCAAGAAGTCTTAGATGCACCGATTTCTATGAAGGGTAAACTCTTGAGCTTCGACAAATATGATGGGTCCACCAACCCAATTGACCACGCGAATACTTTTGAATTAGTGATGGATTTTCATGCGCACTCAGACACATTGAAATGTCAAACTTTCTCCATCACACTTTTGAGCTAAGCAAGACAATGATATTCAAACTTTACTCCATCTTCACGTGGAAGCAGTTAACAAAAGCTTACTACTTAGTTCTCAATGCATCATGACACAAAGTGTCAATCAACATACTTCCTCACCATCTAGTAAAAGGAGAAGGAAACTCTTTGTGAGTACATTTCTAAAGATTTTAAGTCGAGCAAATTAAGGTGCTGCACTACTCTGACGATATAATCTGCTCATCCTTCATTGTTGGGCTCAGAGATAAGAATTTGTTCTAATTTCTAGGCAAAAAGCTTGAGACAACCTTCAAAGGTGTCCTTGAAGAGCTAAGAAGTACATGGGTACAAAGGACCTCCTTCATTCTATAGATATTAAGTATGAGCGCCCTGAGAAGCATGGTCCTTCTTAAAGGTTAAAAGAGAATGATAACAGGTCTAACTCCTCTCGCCAACCTACTAAAGAACGACGCTCTGAGAAGAGGTCTAACCGACCTGAGAGATTCGAGAAATACACACCTCTTAATGTTGTAACAGCTGAAATTTTGGCAAACATTAAGGACAACAAACTTGATCTTCTAAAGAAGCTGAACCGTCTGCACTTAGACCCTGACAAATGTAACAAGTCAAAATATTATCGCTTCCAAAAGGATCATAGCCACAACACATCAGGCTAATATGACCTCAGACAACATATCGAAACCCTTATTCAGGGAGGGAATTTCAAGAAGTACGTCGGTAAGGGTGATCATGGAAAGTCTTCCAAAAATGACACAATTGAAAAATAAAGGTTAAGGTTCCCCCTGGGACGTGGAGATTGACCTCCAATCATAAATATGATCTTCGAATGACCAAGTGAGAGCCAATCTAGCAATAAAAGAAAAGCCTTAGGTCAAGAAGGTCAGTATGAAATGTGTGCCTCATTCTCCCAACCTCAATCCTGCATGATTATATTTTTAGATAAGAACTTTGTTGGAGTTCACTTGCCACACAATGACGCACTGGTCATCGTTCCATTTATTGATAAAATTAAAGTTTGGTACGTGTTGGTTGATAGGAGCGTCTTTGCCAACATCATTTCTCTCGCAACCTACACAACTCTCAGGTGTATACGAGCTCAACTAAAGAGAAGCCTTACTCTATCGGTCAACTTTGCTAGTGAACTTATCATTCCTAAGGAAACATCGATCTCCCAATCATTCTAAGAGAGAGATACACTCAGCTCACTAAAATAGTCGAGTTCATTGTGATCGATGGTAAGTTAGCATACAAGATCATCCTTTGATCGACCTATCCTTCACAACCTCCAAGCAATTCCCTCAATTTCCACCAAATTATGAAGTACCCTATTATACATGAGTAGGAGTGATGCGAGGTGAACAATATACCTCTAGAGAATGTTATGTTGCTACAATCAAACACACTTGTGAAATTATTGCTGAGGAGGTTGAGCTGGAAGCTGGTCCAAAGGAAGATCAAGGTGCTTGTCTCATTATTTTACCTGGAGAAGCAAGTAAGCATTGAGCACCAAGCTCTAGGCCATAAAGAGAGAAGAGCTCATCCAATTCCTAAGGGAGAATGCCAACGTATTTGCATGGTCTCACAGAGACATGCCTAACATTGATTCAAGAATCATGGTGCACTACCTCAACGTTGACACGTCTTACTGATTTGTAAAACAAAAAAACGACTCGAAATGTTGAAAGGAGTGCTGCTATTATAGAGGAAGTTCAAAAATTGCTTAAAGCTAAATGCATAAAAAATGTTTACTACCTGAGCGGTTTTCTAACTTTGTTTTAGTTAAAAAAATCTAATGGAAAATGGAGGATGTGCATAGATTTCACGAACTTAAATAAGACATACCCTAAGAACATCTTCCT